AAAAAAAGAATTAAATTTTACCATTTGCAGTAACAGGGATAGATCTAGGGAGTATAATGCTAAGTGAAATAAGTCAGTCAGAGAAAGACAAATACCATATGATTGCACTCACGTGGAATTTAAGAAACAAAACAAATGAACAAAGGAAAAAAGAGTGAGCAAGCAAGAGAGAGAGAGAGAGAAACCAAGAAACAGACTCTTAACTATACAGAACAGATGGTTACCAGAGGGGAGGTGGGTGAGGAAATGAGGAAAATAGGTGATTGGGATTAAAGAGTACACTTATTGGGGCAGTTGGGTGGTTTAGTCAGTTAAGCATCTGACGCTTGATTTCAGCTCAGGTCATGATCCCAGTTTGTGAGATAAAGCTCCCCTTTGGGCTCAATGCTGACAATGCAAAACTTGCTTCGAATTCTCTCTCTCCCTCTCTCTCTCTCCCCTCCCTCTGTTTGCATGTTCTAAATACATAAATAAACAAATATTTAAAGAGTACATTTATCATGGTGAATAAGATATAAAAATATATATAAAAGAAATTAATATTACCTGCTTCTTATTTTACTTTTTTTAAATGTGACCACCAAAAAGTTAAAATTACATATTATGCTTGAATTGTTTTTCTAATGGACCTATGGTCTATGATTTAAAAAGTAAATGATAGTCTTCTCCCCACAAGATCTTTTCTTATTTACTTTTTAAAATTCATATCAGTGTGATCTCAAAAAGAAATTAACAATACCATAACCCTAAATTAACACAACTTTATGTATCACCATGTTTAATTTTCATCATTACTGTATGGTAAAAATATACCAATTTTTTACATTAAAAAAATGTACAACCTCTTGGGGCACCTGGGTGGCTCAGTCGGTTGAGCGTCCAACTTCGGCTCAGGTCATGATCTCACGGTCCGTGAGTTCAAGCCCCACATTGGGCTCTGTGCTGTCAGTTCAGAGCCTGGAGCCTGCTTTAGATTCTGTGTCTCTCTCTTTCTCTGCCCCTCCCCACTCGCGCTCTGTCTCTCTCTATCAAAAAATGAATAAACGTTAAAAAAAATTTTTTTTAATGTACAACCTCTAAAGGTCTTAGTGTTTGTTTTGCTTTGTTATTCATGCTCATAGACTTGGTATGTGAGAGCCCTACTCTTGAACTCAACTCTTACAATTAGAATAAGCTACTTTGAAGATGTGGTATATATATACAATAGAGTATTACTCAGCAATCAAAAAGAATGAAATCTTGCCATTTGCAACTACGTGGATAGAACTAGAGGGTATTATGCTAAACAAAATTAGTCATAGAAAGACAAATATCATATGACTTCACTCATATGAGGACTTTAAGACACAGAACAGATGAACACAAGGGAAGGGAAGCAAAAATAATATAAAAACAGGGAGGGAGACAAAACATAAGAGACTTAAATATGGAGAACAAACAGAGGGTTACTGGAGGGGTTATGGGAGGGGGGATAGGCTAAATGGGTAAGGGGAATTAAGGAATCTACCCCTGAAATTATTGTTGCACTATATGCTGACTAACTTGGATGTAAATTAAAAAAATAAGATATAATAAGCTACTTTGCTTAAATAATCCCAAGAACAAAATCCATCATCCTTTTCAATGATTAGAGGGTATGTGTCCATATAAAGTGTCTATCTCTTGATCAGAAAATCTCTGAATGTGAGAAGCTCTGGTCATTGCTGTTTCCCCACCTTTCTTTAACCCTTCTCTTGTAAGAGGACATCCAAGGACCACAGAATGCTAGGACTAGAACTCATCAGACCAGAGAATCCTGACACTGGGTCAAAACTCATTTGGCATTCCGTAATACAGATTTTAAGATTCCTTTAAACTCCAAGATGAACCTTGAGCTCCACCCTTATCCTATCTGCTGCAGCCTGATCGAATATGAATGAATGTGTGTTAATGTTCCTATTGTGTGCCTTTGTGGTTATAAAATATTATCACTTATATGTCTATAAAAAGCATGTCTATATGTCTATAGAGAAGGTGAAGAAAACCATATGGGGCAGAAGGTATGTAAAGAATCTTATTAGCAAACATTTAGTGATTCAAAAGAGCAAAATATATCTCTCTTTTAAATAATTTTGTAAATGAAGACCAGGAAATGACCAGAGATATAACAAAGGATTGGGAAGGACCATTAAAGGAGAAAAAGCACATTAAGAGTTCCTTGAAACTAGAAATTGGCGTCTGTGGCCTCAGAGGAGATTTTAAGTTATCATGCCATGAATTTTATTCTCATTCTTGAAGCTTCAAGTTACTTCTTTTCTATTTGTCATAGCTTTGGCTCAGGTCCATTGGCAATTCTTAACAACTACTATGAGCCTGAACTGAATGCTCTTTAAAGTGATCTTTGTTCCTTCAAATTAACTTAGCCCCCACCATATGCAATTTTAACAAATGTTAAAAAGATAACCTTAATTTTATTTCTCTTTAGGATCCATCCTTTACTGCTTTGTTAACCACTCAAACTCAAATCCAAAAAGAGATTGTAAATAAACATAATGAATTAAGGAAATCAGTTTCTCCACCTGCCAGCAACATGCTGAAGATGGTAAGAAGCAGTGATAAAGCCTAGTGGTATGAATCAGTGGTGGTAAGAGCAGGGAGCTGGTACTGGCATTTCTTAAGAACCTTGTGACTTACAAAGTTTTATGTCTGTTTTGCTATTTAATTTGAACTGCACTATGAGCAAAATAGAAATTAATTTTCCTTTGTAATGGTTAAATGATTTGTCAACGTTATAGGGCTTATTAAGTTGGGAAGGGCAAAAATTAGAAGCCAAATCTTCAGACCTCAAATGTGAAGCCATTTTGTTCACTATCCACTTTAGTCTAACATAATGGAGTCCGCTTTCCCTCATATATTTTATTTTTTGTAAGTAATCTCTACGCCCATGTGGGGCTCAAACTCAGGACTCCAAGATCAAGAGTCATATGCTCTACCAACTGAGCCAGCCAGGCACCCCCTAGGAGTCCCCTTTCCTTCAAAATCAGTGCCATTTAGGGTAGATAACAACCGCTTTCCAGGGAATAGTCCAAAAAAGCTAGATATCTCCCATTTGAATGTAATGGGCTATTTCTGAAATTGGGAACAATCTAGGCCTATTCATTACTAACGAAATATAATTCAAGACTTCACATGTTGGGTATTTAGAGTAGCCCCATTACTAAAAATCCTATGTGTGGTTCCTGTACAATCATAAATTGCCAGATATTATTTTATTAGATATTTCTCTCAGTAGACACTTCATTTATGAACTTCTTTTCATGTAGAAATTGGCACTGGAGCAGATACACACACACACACACACATACACACACACACACACACACACACACACACACACTCACACACACCCCTAACAAACAGGTCTTCTGATACCACTGACAATTAGATAATATACCTAGAGAAGTTTAAAGTAGTGCAAATCAACTGACCAAGTATGTTATAAAGCATATGCTTCTTTGGAGTTGAATCTCTAAGTGTATTTTTTTCTTGTGACATTTAGGAATGGAACAGAGAAACAGCAGCAAATGCCCAAAAATGGGCAAACAAGTGCACTTTAGAACACAGCAATGCAGAAGACCGAAAAACCAGTATGTAAATGAGCAAATATCTGTTAAATAAGTGAACAAATAAAATAATACTGCAAAATATTATGGAACATCAAGTAGAATGGAACATTCTGGGACCTTGTAAGAAGATCTAGTAAATAAATGTTGCTTATACTGCTCTTCTTAAAATCAAAGTATCTGTATAGGGAGACATCCTTATAAGTACCATTTTGTGCTTTTGATTTTTTACATTATGCAAATAATTTCTGAAGGAACACTTCATTTGTTCCTCTCAACCAGCTCATGAGTCAACAGTCAACAGTCGTCATTTCTCTAACTTTAAAGATTAGGGACATGGGAGAAATGACCTAAGAGCACATTCTGAAGTTGTATAGCCAGGCTTATTGATTTCTAATCCACTGCCCTTTTTGTGATATTGTGTGTTTGGCATTTTGATATATCTTCTTTTATATTTATAAAATATACTAAATTGTTATTTTTTTCCCTGAATTTTACTCTGAAAATACTTAAAGCTTTTAAAATCATGATGAATACTTCGCATATATTGATTAAGTTTTCAAGTTTTGCTAACTACTTTGTATGGACTGTGGGCTTATTTGCATAGATAATATATTATACTCAAAAACTATACAATACCTTATCAAGGGTTATAAAAACTATGAAAGAAAAATACTTTTATGCATAAATCTTACATAAAATAATTATTTACATTATCAAACATAATACATTTAGGCAACTCAGTTTGAAAGTAATGAATTTTTACCTGTATTTTCATTATAATTATCGCTTATATTGTTGATGCTAATCTGTTAAAAATTATGAAGAGAATGATGGTTTTCAGTAGAAGATGAAAACAAATGGTCTTAATGATGCAAATCTACATGGTTAGAGTCTTAGTTTATTTTTTCCATATTGAAGGTGATAGCCAAGAATATCTTATACTCTCTTTAAGCAGTATGTAGACCTTATATTTCAAGCTACCAAAATGTAAATATTATTTGAGATCTTGAAAAGATAGAGAAGGGGCACCTGGGTGGCTCAGTCGGTTAAGCATCCGACTTCGGCTCAGGTCATGATCTCACTGTTAGTGAGTTCGTCCCCCGCGTCAGGCTCTGTGATGACACCTCAGAGCCTGGAGCCTGCTTCGGATTCTGTGTCTCATTCTCTCTCTGCCCCTCCCTCACTTGTGCTCTGTCTCTCTCTGTCTCTCAAAAATAAGTAAAAATGTAAAAAAAAAAAATGTAAAAAAAAGAAAAGATAGAGAAAATTTCTGGGCAGCAAGACACTTCTTTCTCTCTTAATTTTATAATGGTAAGAATACTTAACATGAGACCTACACCTTTAGCAAATAGTTAAATGTACTATACAATATTGTTGTCTAGGTAAAATGTTGCATAGAAGAATTTATTCATCTGAAATTATTCATCTTACTTATTTGAAACTTTATGCCCATTGATTGGTGACTTCTCATTTCTCCTTTCCCCTATCCCTGGCTACCACTATTCTACTCTTTGATTCTATGAATTTGACTATTTTAGGTACTTCTTGTAAATGGAATCATGTAGTAGTTGTCTGTCTATGACTGGCTTATTTCAGTTAACATTTTCAAGATTCATCCATACTGTCTCACCCAAATGTAGAATTTCCTTCCTTTGTAAGGATGAGTGACATCCATTGTATGTGTATGTGTCTTTTTGTTCATCCATTCATCTGTCCATGGATTTTAGGTTGTTTCCACATGGTGGCTATTGTGAATGGTGCTGCAATGAACATGAGAATGCTAATATCTCTTTAAGAACCTGATTCCAGTTATTTTGGATAAGTACTCAGAAGTGGTATTACTGGATCATTTGGTAATTCTAGTTTTAATTTTTTTGAAGAACCCCTGTACTTTTTTCCATTAGCACCTATACCATTTTTATTTCCACCAAAAGTGTACACCATTCCAATTTCTCCACATTCTTCACTCATTGCCCTTTCTCCACCCATCAAAAACATCCTTACCGATATAAGGTGATATCTCATTATTTTGATTTGCATTTCCCTGATGATTAGCAACATTGAGCACCTTTTCATATACCTGTTGGTCATTTGTATATCTTTGGAGAATGTCTATTCAAATTGTGGTCAGAAAAGATCCATAGTCAATTCCTCAGGCAGGCCCCTGAAAACAAAGGATCTTTGGGCATTCCAGCCAACTCTTTCCCTATTCAGGAAGAGGCTAGAAGCTTGCGATTTTTATCTCCTCACTCTATGCTGAACAAGAAGGGAAGCTATGGTAAATCTTTATTCTCATGAGCCCCACATCTTGTTATGTGAGGTCTGTTAACATTCTCAGAGAGGCAAGTCAGAAGTCAGTCCTTTGAGCAGCATCTCGAAAATTTGTGGCCCTGGATGCCCAGACCAACTCTTTCCCACCTTTGGGAGAAACAGGCTCTGTTTCTGAGAAAGGGAGAGGAGGGAGCCATGGCATCTACCAATCCAAACCACCGTCTCTATTGTCCCCAGGGGGCAAGACTGTGACTGTGCCAAGCCTGTCAGAGCTCCAAGAATACCAAGCCATATGTTAGTTCTTTGGGCAGCCTTGGAGAAATTCAGGCATTAGACACACCAGTCAAGACTTTGTTTCCCAAGGAGGAAACTGAGAACTATAATTTTTCATATGTATGCTCTGTGCTGAGCCAGGGAGAGGAGATATGGTATCTACCAGCCCCAGACACTATCTCCATTCTCCTCCAGGTGGCTAGCCTGTGCCTGACTACCAGAGCTCCAAGACTAACAAGACAGAAGCCACCCATCTGGGAAGTTTTCTTTGGGAAAGGTTGGGTGGCTGGACACATAAACCAATTCTTTCCTTCCCCTGGGAGAAGCTGGGAGACATGGGATTTCTTCCTGATCATATGGCAGGCACTGTGCTGAGGGTAGGTATTCTAGCAAGAGGGTGTCCCAATTTCCCTACAGGCTTCAGTGAGTCTGGGCTCATATTTTTCCAGACTATAGAAGCCTTTCCATTAGTTTTGGAATTCTCATAAGGGCAATTTGTTTGGGAATTGTTGCTGAATCAGTGTGTTTGTTAGGGGAAGGAGAATCCAGGCTTCCTATCCTGCCATCTTGCTAATGTCACCCTGAAAGGTTTTTCTTACCAAATCTTCCTCAGAAGATTTGGCCTTATGACATTCTGATTCATTGATTAAGGGAGGATCCAAAAACTTTCAAAACTTCCATCCCCCCCTGATGTCAGTTGCCTCTTAACTGGTGCTCTTAAAATCACTTCTAGATCTTTTTATCCAAGTTCACACAAAATCATAATCATAATCATAATCATAATCATCATAATCATTTACTCAGAGTCCAGTATATGAAAAATCTCTGGTGAGGGTGAACAAGAAGAGGAAAAGAATAAAAGTTGGTCACTGCTTTTTGCAAATTTACAATACAAAGCTGAGAGCATAGAAGATATTACACATGTGAATTTAGCATGAAAAAGAATGCATTTTTGGCAATCCAGAGGATTTTTAAAGCATACGGTCTTCTCAGCCTACTCAGTTGTACATGTTGAGGCCAGCCTTAGCATGCTAGACAGATCTGTCTTCTATTCAACTTTATAGCTGATAAGGACAGAAGTCCTTTTATTATGTATTAACAGTTAGCAAGTATAGGCACTATGTTTGAAAGGCAACATCCTTGTGTTCATATAGTTGGTTGCTTTTGCCATTGCATACTTTATTGCTTCCTCATGAATGATGTTTCTCTTTAGGTACAAAATGTGGTGAGAATCTCTATATGTCAAGTGACCCTGCTTCCTGGTCAAATGCGATCCAAAACTGGTATGAGGAACGCAATAATTTTGTCTATGGTGTAGGACCTAAGAGTTCCAGTTCAGTTGTTGGACATTACACCCAGGTAAGAGAAACAAATGAAAACACTTTTGCCACAATTGCTCTAATATAGAAAGCATCTTTAAATTATGACCAAGCCCTGGGGCGCCAGGTGGCTCAGTCAGTTAAGTGTCTGACTCTTGATTTCGGTTCAGGTTCATGAGATCGAGCCCCATGTAGGGCTCTGAGCTGACAGCATGGAGACTGCTTGGGATTCTCTCTCTTCCCTCTGTCTACCCCTTCCCCACTTGTGTGTGTTCTCTCTCTCTCTCTCTCTCTCTCTCTCTCAAAATAATTAAATAAATTTTAAATTATGACCAAGTCCAATATTTAATTTGGGTAAGAGCCTGACTAGATAGAATAGTCCTAGCATTAGCTGGTACTTCATCTGGAGCTGTCTTTTTTCCCCATAGTTTGCAAAACTCTTGGTAAGAAAGCATACTCCATACTTTTTCTAAATTAGGATTGGATAAAATAGTGAATGCATGTTAAAATTTAATATTTTAAAATTTGTGACTTTGTTTCAATAATTGAACTAAATATTTCCATAAGGTACTTGGCTACAAACTATAATAGTACCATGTTTTCAGTTTTACATTTGTTATTATTATTTTTTCAATATTTTCTATCTTCTTTAATGTACTCTCCCATATTCCTTTTTGGATTTGTAGCTTGTCTGGTACTCCTCTTTCCACGTTGGATGTGGAATTGCCTATTGTCCCAATCAAGAAAGTTTAAAATACTACTATGTTTGCCAATATTGTCCTGCGTAAGTATATACTTTAGAGTTTAACACAATAATCCTATGTGCAGTTTAATATTTTGAAATTCTTACGGAATAAACAAACTGGGATATAAAACACATATCAGTAAAGGGAAGGAAGGAATTTTTTTTCATTTTTTAAAATTCATACATAGTTGATCCACAATGTCATATTAGTTTTAGGTATATAACATAGTGACAAGTCTATACCTTATGCCGTGCTCACAAGTGTAGCTACCATCAGTCACCATGCTATTACATGCTATTACAATACAATTGACCATAGTCCCTATGCTGTACCTTCTATCCCCATCACTTACTTATTCCATAACTGGAAGTTCATACCTCCCACTCCTTTTTACCCATTTTACCCATCCCCCACCCCCTTATACCTATGGTCTGTTTCTGTTTTTTGCTTATTTGCCTGATTTGTTTTTTAGAATCCACATACAAGTGAATCATGTGCTATCTGTCTTTCTCTGTCTAACTTATTTCACTTAGCATAATACCCTCTAGGCCTATCCAGAAGGGATAAATCTTTAGAAATGCCTTTTAAGTCGTGATACATTCAATTATCAGAGAAGAGACCACATTCTAAATTCCAAGTGTAAAATCTGAAACTCTCTTTCCTTAATGTGACATCTTTTCTCTCAGTGACCTTTCCCTTAGGCTCACAGCTATAATGAGGGAAAGCGTGGGTAGTGTGCATTTCTGTAGATTTGATGTCATTAGTTCTCACTAACTTCATACTCTAGGAAGGTGGCAGCCTGATGGTTAAGCAAGGGATGGTAGTGGACTGGGAAACTGGGAATGGCTGATTGTGATTTCAGCTCTTTCTGCTAAAATGTTCCCACCCCTGCTTATCTAAAATGCTGCCTATGTTATTACCATCACAGATGACTCATTCATTGGCTCTCAAAGGTGTTTTCAAGAGATCTTTAATGTATTTCAGAGTCCAGGAGAGAAGAACATCCTTAATCCTTGTTTTTCAGAAGTTTGCACAAAATCTCCATAATGAACCATTCTTTAAGGTCCTGACTTGCAGCAGGAAATGTGTTCTTTCATCAAAGATTATGTTTGAACTTACCCAGAATAAATTCTGTAGATATACTGACGATCTAATCTCAGCATATCTGTTAGCCTTAATTTCTTTAAATGTTTGAAATTCCTTGCCACCAGGGACAGGAGACCCCTAAAACCAAGCTTCCTTCAGGTTTTATTTTGAGACTGTCGATAACCCAAGTATATGGATCTCCCGTTTGAGAAGTATGACTTCCAATGCCATCTTCCTGCAAGCACCTATGAGGGTTTAGTAGAAAGAATTGAAAAGTTCTTAGGAGAATGCATCCAAATTCACTGTCTGGCTATAAGAGAGGAGGGTCTGATGCCAGGTATCTGAAGTGAGAGTTGGAGTGAATAATGAGGGAAAGCAGGGGTGAGAGCACTTTCGGAACATGTTTGTGTCTAGTTCACATTTTTCCAGGGGCTCACACACATTCAGATATATCCTGTGTAGGGCCTGAGATTCAAATGCATGGCCTTGTGTCTTTGTCCCACTTGACACTATTGATATTTGGACTCCCTTGTATTTCAAGTGAATTAAATGGCCAATAGGTAATGATCACAAGCGAGTTATAAGTTAGTCACTATAATGTGATTACATTCTGGATATTCATGCTTCTCAAAACTTTTTTTAATTAACGTTCCCTTTCTAGTAAACATAAAAATCTTTCACATACCGCCTCTAGAAATTCACAAACCTTCTTTTCCTTCCCTGTCTGACAAGCACACACACCACTAACTACTTAAATATTACTACTCTCATTCTAAAAGTAAAATGTATATATATGTGTGTCTGTCTGTGTGTGTGTGTGTATATATATATATATATATATATATATGAAATTTGGTATTTTATTATGTTTCAAATAAAAATGATATTGTAATATTAAATATTCTTTTCCAAACTATAATCCCTATGTCCCAGAGGCTCTTTTGTCTCTCTTGGGGGATATGCTCTATTCCCTAGCACTCACATTGGGTGTACTGTCTTAACAAATTTGACCATGTCTAGTGGGAGATGAAAAGTGTTGCCACATTGAAATATACTCTAAAAACTTTACACTCCCATTAATGTGATTTAGTTGCTCAGATTGAAAAATTATAGTCAAGGACATGGGTCAATATGTGAAGTATTTTCTTAATTTGAATGTTACCTGAATTACTCACTGGGAATTATATTTTTTCAGTTTTGTTAACATACCTAAAAGCATTTAATAGTCATGCATATTTGGTAATTTATACTGCTTTGGGGGAGTATAAACTAAACTGTAAAGTGAAGTTATTTGACATTATGTATTTTAAATTCCAGCGGTAACAATGTGAGTAAAAAGAATACCCCTTACCAGCAAGGAACACCTTGTGCCAGTTGCCCTGGTAACTGTGAGGATGGACTATGCAGTAAGTTTGAAGTGATTACTTTGCTATTATAAGAAACAGTTGATGTTTTATTTATTTTTATGGGTTAAGAAATCTCCTAAAGGAACCAATTTAAATAGTATCCTTATGCAAAATACAAATATGTTACTTAACAGACTGTGTTTATGTAAATATTTTACACAGTTTATTTAGTAACCTACACATTACTTGCAGTGAAAATATTACCACATGTAAGATAATGAAAGATCTACCATCAATGTGTTTTTGTGACTATGCAAAGCTCATTAATATTAACTATACATATTTCTGGTAAATAGTTCATTTCCTCAAAGTTAGTATCTTTATACCAAAAGTCTTATTTTGTTTTTTTATTTTATTTTATTTATTTTTTTTTTTAATTTTTTTTTTTTTAACGTTTATTTTTTTGGGACAGAGAGAGACAGAGCATGAACGGGGGAGGGGCAGAGAGAGAGGGAGACACAGAATCAGAAACAGGCTCCAGGCTCTGAGCCATCAGCCCAGAGCCCGATGCGGGGCTCGAACTCACGGATCGCGAGATCGTGACCTGGCTGAAGTCGGACGCTTAACCGACTGCGCCACCCAGGCGCCCCAAAAGTCTTATTTTGAAATGTAAATCTATGGGTGTAAGATCACATTATAGCTCAATCTAGACAGGCAAATGAAATATATTTTTGTGTGTTAATGAGTTCATCATGCTGATTTCCTCTTTTTCCTGTAGTATAATTGAAATCACAGTGTTTAACTTAATAATTACTCTCCCTGTGTTTTGATAGTAGTTCACTGCATATTTTAATGGCAAAATCAAATCTGTATGTAGCACTGACTCATAGACCCACAAAAATATTGTTGCAACAGGAGAGAATTTAAAAAAATATCATATATATGATTTCTAAAGTTGTAATGAAGCAAAAATAGCTGTTAGCTCTTTATAGTTGGGATGCTTGGATTAAAATTATTATGAATAAGAGTTGAATAAATATCATTTGTTGAGATTTTTACCTTTCAAGTACATTCACCTTTAGTTAGCATTCTTACTGACTGAATTATATAGGTATAATTCATAATATTGATTGTATTAAAGCTATAAATCAACTAATGAAGAAAAAAGGGTTACATATTAACAACTCTTCTGAATGCTATTTGCTAAGAAGCATGGAATTTATCCTGTTATCAATAAGCACTCAACTGAAAGGTTTTAAACAGAAGAGTGACAGGGCCAGAACCATGTTTTATAAAGAGATTCCTAACAATAGTATGTAGAAACAATTGGATGGAAGCCAGCTAGAAAATTGTTGAAAACTATGGGTTAAAAAAAAAAAAAAAAAAAAAAAAAAAAAAAAGATGTCTTTACTGCATTACTGACAAAATGAATGAGATAATTGGACAGGGTTGGAAAACAAGGAATAGAATAGCCAGGGTTTGTTACCTGTCCTGGTTGAATGCTGGTCTGAAGTAGGAAAGATGAAGTTCTGACTGATCCAGTCTTGGCCTAAATTACTGAGTAGTCAGAGAGCCATTTCTCTGAGATTGTGGGAGGGGTACAAGGAGACCATACCCAAGAATTGTCAACCTTGTGAGCAGTATGATAAGTAGCTTGAAATTTGTTGAGTTTGGGGAGGATCCAAGAAATACCAGAAGGAAAGAGTGCATATTATCATTGTTTTGCATCTTTATCTTCCCATAGATATCTGTTTCTCCAGAAAGAAAGCTTTGGAGTCTGAAACAGTGCTATTGAAGAGAATGAAATGAAGGAAATGTTCTCTATCAGCATATGTCTTACAAGTAGCCATTAGTCACATGTGACCTTTGAACACTTGAAATGTGGCTAGTAAGATTAAGGGACTAAATTTTTTACTTTAGTTTAGAATAATTTAAATTTCAATAGCTACATGTGACTAGTGGCCCCTACATTAGACTGCAGGTGTAGAGAGATTTATTTATATTCATTTTACTCTTTTGGCTAAGGGAGAAAAGTAGGTCAATTCATTTAGAAACATGACCAAATTCAAAATAAAAAAGTGTTAGATTGATCAGTGAGCTTGACTGAGGCACCTGATATGTCCCTTAAGAAAGGAAAAGTCCATCATTGTGTAAGTGATGTTGACTTGTTTTGTCCAGTCTCCTACCCATCTCATGCACTTTGAATGGGTGGATTGTTTTGCTGCTACTAAGGAATATGATAATGAGGTAAATAATTTGTTTTTGTCACAGCCAATAGTTGCGAGTATGAAGATCTCCTTAGTAACTGTGATTCCTTGAAGACAACAGCCGGCTGTGGACATGAATTGCTTCAGGAAAAGTGCAAGGCTACTTGCCTGTGTGAAAACAAAATTTACTGAGATGCCCAGTGTGCATTGCAAAACTAAGTGAAGAGGGCTGCATCATTTAGTTAATACATATCGCAGGGGATTTTAGGCATGTTAGTTACAAATATGGTTCCACACAGTAATGCATTTTTTTCTCCTGGATCTTTATAGAAATCTCTTTCATACAGTGATTTACAAAAGCAGCATAGTCTATGATGACAACTTCGGACTTTGATAGCAATTTGGTACTTTAAACTTAATGAATTGAATCAAGTTGAGAATTTTGAAAGTTGTATAATCATAGACTTTTGGTCACTGAAAGGGATCAGAATGGAGAAGTACGTTTCTTGAAACATCATCCAAAAAAAGAAAAAAAAAACTATAACATCACTGTCATTCCTACTACATGAATTTTTACTTGAATAAAGTTTAAATTCAAAGATTGACATGTACCTTTGTCTTATGGCCTCCTCTTTAAACAAAAGTAATCACGTTTTAGAATAAAAAAATGATTCTTGCACAATATTTTTGAGTATTCATAGTTCACCCCAGCTAGACTCAGCCCAGATAAATGATTATACAGTGCAAAATTTCCAAAATATTTGCCTATAAAATTTTAACAAAAGTGGAAATCAGCTCTGTTCTTACTTATTCTTTGATATTTTGATCTCCCTACAGGTTTAGTTGATAAGTTAAAAGAAAACATTATCTGAGAGCATATACAAAGATAGCCTTCCAAGAAAAAAAAATATTTCAGAGAGATTTATCATTTATAAGTTTGCATACATTCTCATTTAATATTGATGACAAAAACATGGTGAAGTAGACCCATTTTATAGGTGAGAAAACATACACAAGAAATCTAAAAACAGTTAAGGAGGCTGAGGTGCCTGGGTGGCTCAGTTGGTTAAGGCTCTGACTCTTGGTTTTGGCTCAGGTCATGATCTCACAGTTTGTGGTTCAAGCCCCATATCAGGCTCTGCACTGCTAGAGTGGAGCTTCTTAGGATTCTCTCTCTCCCTCCTGCTCTCTCTCTCTCTCTCTCTCAAAATAAATAAGTAAACTTTAAAAGAAAGAATAAGCATTTTATGAAACCTAGTATCCAATCCTGATGAAACTCTCAGCAAAACAAGAAGGGAAGTTTCTCAGCTTGATAAAGAAAAGCTATAAACAAATGTATAGCTAACACTGTATTTAATGGTGAAAGACTGAATTTTTCCCCCTAAGTTCAGAAAATAGGCAAAGATGTCACTCTCATCACTAGGCATTATACTAGTTCTGGCCAGTGAATCAGATAAGACAAAAAAAAAACATCTAATTAGAAATGAAGGAGTAAAACTGTCTTATGGATAGAAGCAATGACACACATAATCACCAACTGGGAAATATACCTACATATACAGTTGACTTTTGAAACACAGGGGTTGGGGGACTGATACTCTACACAGTCGAAAATCTGTGTATAACTCTTGACTCTCCAAAAACTTAACTACTAATAGCTTACTGTTGAACAGAAGCCTTAATGAGAACATAAATAGCTGATTAACACATTTTTGGTATGGTATATGTATTGTACACTGTGTTCTTACAATAGAGTAAGCTAGAAAATATTATTAAAATAATTTCTGTACAGTACTTTACTCTGCAGTACCCTAAATGTATTTATCCAAAAAAATCCATGTATAAATGGACTCATACAGTTCAAACCTATGTTGTTCAAGGGTCAGCTGTATGGGGACAGTGGATTTTTGGCAGTGGTAGAGAGGAAGCTCAATGGAGAAAGAAGAGTCTTATCAATAAGGGGTGGTGGGAAAATTGACATCCGTATGTTTAAAAAAATGAGTTTGATCCATACTTTGCACTGTATACAAAAATTTATCATAGACCCAAATAAAGAAATTAGAAAATGTTTAGAAGATGTAAGAGAAAATATTTGTGACTTCTGGTTAGGCAAATATTTCTTATATACAAAGTCATCTGTAAAAGTAAAAACTGATAAATTGGGCTTCATCAAAATGAAAAAATTATTTTCTTCAAAAACACTCATAAGAGAATGAAAGGACCAGTCATAGGCCATGAGAAATTGTTTACAAATCATCCATCTGAGAAAGGACTTGTATCAGGAATATATGATGACTCTCAAAACTCAGTACTGATGAACACAGGCAACCCAATAAAAATGGCCCAAAGATGTGAACAAACACTTCATAAAAAAACATGTACAGATGGCAAATAAGAATATGAAAAGATGGTCAACATCACCACTTGTTAAAAAATGCAAATTAAAACCACTATGAGAGACCACTACCCAAGTATCAGACCAAATAAAATGAAAAACACTCACTATACAAAGTGCTGGTGAAGTTGTAGGGGACCTGGATCCTTCATATACTCCTCCTGGGGATATAAAATGGTGCAATTACTTTAGAAAACATGTATTCAGGTTCTTAAAACGCTATATACCTACCATACACTCTAGCCTTTCCATTTCTATGTGCCCATGAGAAAAGAAAACATAGATCTCTTCAAGACCTGTCCTTGAGCATCCATAGCAGGTTTACTTGTAATAGCAAAAAGTTAGAAACAATCCAAATGCCCACTAACATGTAAATGGATTAACCAACAACTCGGATGAGTCTCAAAGTAGTCTGAGTGAAAGAAGACATAGAAGTGTACATACTGTGTGATTCTATTTATATGAAACTAGAAAATGCAAACTATAGTGACAAAGCAGATCAGACTTAAAGTTCCTCTTTTA